AACACAATATACAACACTTAACTCAAAATGGGTCAAAGATCTAAATGTAAGACATAAAACTATAAAACTCTTAGAAGAAAACATAGAGCAAAAGCTTCATGACATTGGATTTGGCAATGACTTATTTGATATAAAACCAAAGGCAGAGGCAACAACAAAATCGTCAAGCTAGACTTTATGAAAATCAAAAAGCTTTGTGCATGAAAAGAACATCCAAAATAAAAAGGCGACCCATGGAATGGGAGAGAATATTGGCTAATCATATACCTGACAAGGGATTAACATTTAGAATATATAGCTAACTCAACAACAAACAATCTAATTCAAAAATGGGCAAAGGACTTGAACAGACATTTCTCCAAAGAAGTTATACAAATTGACCAATACACACATGAAAAGATACTCAACATCACTAATCATTAGGAAAATGCAAATCAAAACTACAAGGAGATACCATCTCATACCCATTAGGATGGCTACTATCAAAACAAAACACAGAAAATAAGAAATGTTAGTGAGGACGTGGGAAAACTGGAACCATTGTACATTGTTGGTGGGAATGTAAAATAGTAAAGTTGCTATGAAAACCAGTATGATGGTTCCTCAAAAAATTAAAAATAGAAGTACCATATGACCCAGCAATTCCACTTCTAAGTATATACCGAAAAGAAATGAAAGCAGGGTCTCAAAGAGATATTTCTACTCTCACATTCACAGCAGCATTATTCAAAATAGGTAAAACATGGAATCAATGCAAGTGTTCATCAACAGATGAATGGATAAGCTAAAAGTAGTATATATATACACAATGGTTTAGCCTTTTAAAAAGGAAGGAAATTCTGCAATATGCTACAATATGGATTAATCCTGAGGACATTATGCTAAATGAAATAAGTCAGTGACAGAAAGACAAATACTGTATGATTACACTTATATGAGGTACCTCGAGTAGTCAAAAACCATAGACACAAAGTAAAACGGTGGTTGCCAGGGGATGGAGAGTAGGGGAAATAGACAGTTATTGTTTAACAGGTATAGAGTTTCAGTTTTACAAGATGAAAAGAGTTCTGGAGATGGATAGTGGTGATGGTTGCACAACATCATGAATATATTTAATACCGCTGAACTGTACACCTAAAAATAGCTAAGATGCTAAATTTTGTTATGTGTACTTTACCACAACAAAAAAAAATTACAGAAAAGACAAATTAAAGTATCCAATAAAATTCAACTTCTATCCAAAAAAACCCCAAACAAAGCACCAATCACTTTTATTTGGATTGCGTATATTTAAAATACACAAACATCCACACTGTAAGCAATGTGAAGCCTTTTTGTAAAGGTCATATAAGAACAAACAAGACTATCATACCTTTATTACAGTTGTTTTCATTTTCTGGTTTTTCTACCATAGGCTCTAAAGTAGGTTCTTTGTGCTCGATTTTTTCATCCACTTTCTCCCTTTCTTTCTTTTCCAATTCATATTCCTTTTCCTGTTCTTTGATCTTTTGCAGTTCTTTTTCCTTTTCCTGCTGCCGTTCTAGTTCTTTCTCTTTTTCTTGTTTTTTTTCCTTCTCCATTTCTCTTTGTTTTTCCTGTTCTCTCTCCAGTTCTTTCTCCTTCTCCTCTTGCCTTTCCCTTTCTTTTTCCCTTTCCTTCTCTCGCTCCCGTTCATGTTCTTTTTCAAGTTCTTTCTCACGCTCCCGTTCTTTTTCTCGCTCCCTTTCTCTAATTTCCTCTGGAGATGGTTGTTTGTCCACTATGCCAAGCTTTTCATCCAATCGTTTCAGTTTCTCTGCACATGCTGCCTTCCTTTGTTCTTCCATTCTTCGCTCTTCTTCCTCACGCCGCTTCCGAGCACGTTCCACTGCTGCAGAAAGTTCTGACTGTTGTCTTCTTCTTTGCTTCCATATTTCATCTTCATCCGGTACTTGCTGCTTTGGGGGAAAAGGGCCTGGCCTTCCAGGTACTGCTTGTCGGTCTGGAGGAGGATGCTGAAACATTAAGATAAATTATCACAGGAGTATGACAAATCTATTTTTGATCAACATTGGATATCATAGGCAGGAAGAGGGAGGAAAACACTCGACAAAATGTCAGAAATTTTCCTGATAAAACATACACATTAAAATGCAAACAAGTAACAACATGAAGAAAATATTAGGTCTAGATAATTCCCAAAACTAAGACCAGAATAATTAATCCAGTCATCTAACATTTACTGAGCATGTACCTATTTATTGTGCCAGATATTGTTGCTCACTCAGTATTTGTTGAATAAAATTAGAAGCTGTCACAACGTGAATTTCAAAATCTAAATTTAGAGACAAAGGGAAATTTAGAATATGAGTGCTCTTGCAGCAACTGCCAGAGAGAGAATGCCTAAAGAAGGAGAAAGAAGTCCATAAAGACGCAAAAGCCACCACATGAGCCCTGAGAAGACTGAGGTACAGTTACAGGGAAAGAGCAGATAGCCAAAGAAGCTAAGCAAAGAAAATGGAGACACTGCTACTGCTGACAGTCCAAAGGAGAAGAAATTACTAGAAATCAGCCTGGGTTGAGAGAGTTCTATCTTGAAGCTGAAAAATCCAGAAAGGCACATCTAGAACCTATGGTGGAGGATGGATCACCTGAGAGATCGAGTTTTAATGATTTAATTTTCAATTAATGTGTTCTAAGACAATTACTACAAAGTGTAAAATCACTGCCAGCAACTATGCAAAGACCACCAGAATAAAAAGAGCACACATGAAGGGCTGAAATATTAAGGAACTTAAAAAATTTGTTTTAAAAATACTGATTTTAATAGCTACTAGGGTGGAAAAATCTTAAAAGCCAGACAACCAGTCAGAATCCTTACTAAACAGAAAATAATGGTCTGATGCAAACAGTGAACTGAATATTAAACATGAATCCAGAATCTATCATTTACTAACAGTGCTATCTCAGGCAAACCAGTTAATCTCTCTGGTGTTTAGTTACTTCACCTATAGCTCAGAGACAAGCTGCGAAAACAAAATAATAAAGTACCTAATTTACACAGAAAACTCATCGAGTAAGCATTTTTTGAAAAGCAATTTCATTGAAGTATAGTTTACATAAAATGTGATGCACGTATTTTAACTGTATTGTTTAATGAGTTTGGGTGAATGATACACTTGTGTAACAACCACCCCATCAAGATATAAAGCCTTTTCATCACTCCTCTGCCTCCCCCTTTGACCCCAAACCACCATTGATCTACTTCTGGCAGTATAGAGTCGTTTTCCCTTTCCTTATGGATACATCAAGTTACATTCTCTTTTGTGTCTGGTTTGTTGTGCTCGCAGCAATAGTTTTGAGGTCCTTGTAGGTATCAGCAGTTTGCTCCATTCTACCGCTGAACAGTGTTCCATCATAGGTACATTGTTTCATCTGTGGATTGACACCTGGATTGATTCTAGTTTTTCAACTATGAATAAAATAGCTATGGGCATTCATGGCTAAGTCTTCATGTAAATATATGTTTTCATTTCGTTTCATCTGGATAAATATCTAGGAGTGGACTGCTGAGTCATATGTTTCACTTTGTAAGAGACTGACAGACTGCTTTCCAAAGTGATTACAAGGTTTTACAGCTCCACCAGCAATCTATGCGAGTTCGAGCTGCTTACATCCTTGCCAACATTTGGTGTCATCAGCCTATTAAATTTTGGATGTGTAGCAAAATCTCACTGTGGTTCTGATTTGCATTTTTCTGGTAACTAAAGATCTTGAACACCTTTTCATGTGCTTATTGGCCATCTGTATATCTTATTTTGTGAAGTGAATGTTCAAATCATTTTGTTGGGCTAATGCTTATTATTGAGCTGTAAGGTTGTTTTTTTTAAAAAATATATCCCAATACAAGTTCTCTGTCAGATGTATTAGTCATGTTTTTTTCTGTGACATATCTTTTCATTGCCTTAGTGATGTTTTTCAAAGTCAAATTGATCAATTTCTAATTCATGCCTTTTGTGTCTTATCCAAGCATCTTTGTTGAAGAAAGCTCAGACTTTCTTTTACATTTTCTTTCAGGTGTTTTAGTTTTAGCCTGTATGTATATAGAAATGCTAAAGAGCATTCAGTGGTTAAAAGGAAAATGACTGGAGGAGATGATGGTGATGGCTGTGGTATGTGCACCTATTTTAGTAAGAAGATCAGTGCAGGCCTCTAAAGTGGTAATATCTGAGCAAAGAATTTGATCATAGGAAGGATCTCAGGAAGAGAGTCTTCCAGTTAGAGGAAACAGCAAATAAAACATCTTCAGGGTGAAATAAAAAACAACAGGAATAAAGCTTGTGAAGCAAGAACAGAGAGAAAAGTAGATGAAATCAGAAGAGTAGACAGAGACCTTAAAGACCATGAGAAGGACCTGAGCAAGGAACGACTGACCTAATAAATACAGTGTAAAAAGATTACATCTACTACAGGAGAACTTGGGATGGAGGTGGTGGGTGAGTAGGCGGCAAGAGAGGAAAGCAAGACCTGTTAAGAACTTACTGTGATAGTTCAAATGAAATATAACAGGTGGTAGCAAGTACTCAGTGTAGGAATATATCCTGAAGGTAGAGGTGACATAACTTGCTGATAGATTAGGCTGGATATACGGGAAAAAAGAAGGAAGAGTTAAGAGTGACGTCCAGGTTTTAACCTGAGCAAATGGGTACATGATAATGCCATTACCTACGATGGGGAAGACATGGAAAGAAGCAGGACTGTATATGTGTGGGAGTAGGGGTTTGTTATGGTCTGGACATATTAAATATGAGCTATCTATGAGAGATCCAAATGGAGATGTTGAAATGATTGTTGAATACATGACTCTTAAAGTCAGGGCAGAGCTTTAAGGGGTCAAGATAAACATCTGAGTGCCATGAGCACATGGATGAGATCTTCTAGGGAAAGGATATAGTTAGAAAACGGAATGAGAACACAGCCCAGAGCCCTCCAGCAGTCAAAGATCAGTATAGGAGGCCCTGAAGGAATACAAATTGAAGAAAGAGAACAAAATAGTGTGATGTCTCAAAAGTAAGTAAAAAAAAATGTTTTAAGAAGGATGGAAAGATTAACTATGTCAACTGCTACTGAGATTTAAGTAAAATGAAGACAAGACAACTGGATTTGGCAAGATGGAAGTCATTACTGACTACTGACCTTGATAATAACAGTTTCAAAGGTATAGTGGGAGATGAAAGCATAAGAGGAGAGTGTTAACGAGAGAGAAAGTAAAGACAGCAAGTGTCAATAGCTCACTAAAACAATTTTGCCATGGAGGAGAACAGAGAAATAGGGCAGAAACTGCAGGCAGATGGAACGTAGCAGGAGTTAAAGGAGGGTTGGTGTTTAAAAAAATTTTTAAGATGGGAGAAAACATTACTGGTAAGTGACAGAGGATGGGATCCTGGGAACAAATAGAAGGGTTGTCCTTAGTAACAAGGACAACAGGAAGGAAGTCAGAATATGAAGGGCATTGAAATTTTATTTTCTTAGTGAAATTAGAAGCATGTTTATCAGCTGAGAATGAAGAGGGTAAAGATAAAGAGGAAGATATGCAGGAACTACAAGCTAAAGACCATAACTGTTTCCTAAAAGTTATAAATAAGATACACAGAACTTTTCCATTAAAACAAAGTCAAATAATACATACAGACCATAAAACAGCATTTGGTTAAGATGTACCTGCTGTGCAAGCAACTTTGGAGGTGGCGGCAGGTGTGAAGATGGTCCACGTTCCTATTATAAAGAAAAGGATTGTTATCAAGTAATTAGATAAAAGATATCTACTGGAAATATTTGCGAATGTACTGATTTTTTTAGTGAAACCACAAGATTGCAAAAAGTAAACCATCTTTATCTTTTTCTTTTTTATTCTTTTTTTTTTTGTGAGGAAGATTAGCCCTGAGCTAACATCTGTTGCCAATCTTCCTCTTTTTGCTGAGGAAGACTGGCCCTGGGTTAACATCTGTGCCCATCTTCCTCCCCTCTATATGTGGGACGCCTGCCAAAGCATGGCTTGATAAGTGGTGCGTTAAGTCTGCGCCCGGGATCTGAACCTGCGAACCCTGGGCCCCTGAAGCGGAGCGTGCAAACTTAACCACTATGCCACCAGGCCGGCCCCTTCTTTTCTCTTTTTTAATGAAAGTACACCACTCACTACAAGATAACTTTGCGTCCTCTAGAATTACTCTGCCATTTCAACAAGGTTAGAATCTCAAAAGAAATTTGCAAACAGTAGAATTTTAGCGATAAATTCTGGAATTCTAGCCCAAGTAATTTGGCTGCAGAGAAGTATGCCACTAATTTCAAAATTTTATTTATGTAAGCCCAATTCTTTTTCTGGATTTTTTTTTCTAATGGCAAACTAAAACTGTATTTAGCTTAAAAAAAGGAAATATCTAAAACATACCGGAACCAGATATAGTATATGGAATATTTGCTTGCTAATATATACATCAGTATCACACACCAAAAAAATCAAGACATCAAGACATTCTTTCATGAAGAAAGGAATTATCATTCCCCATTATGCCAGTATGTTAAAAATCACACAAAACACAGATTTTACAAAAAATAATACCTGAAAAATCCTTCTTTTTCAGAGTTCATGAATTTATTCTCCAACGGCCAACCAATGCCTTAAGAATAAAACCCAAACTTCCTTGTATAGCATACAAGATTTAATAACTGGTTCTTACATAGTTCTTACTCTTCTCTCATATCAAACTACTGGTGACTTCCTGAATGTGCCGTGTTTTCCCACACTTCTCTACTCTGAACATGTTCCCACTGCTTAGAATCGCTCACTTCCCTTTGTCTATTGGCTAATTCCTGCTTCAAGTACCAAGTCTTTTGCAAAATCTTTTCCACAGAATTCTCTACGAACTCACCACACGCACTCTACCATAGCACTTATCATGCTGTATTGTGACTGATGCTGTTGGTTTTCTTTTCCTTTTATGGAGACTGTTAGCTATCTACTTTTACCCCCCGGAAGGGAACGGTTCCTTCATGTTTTGTACGAATGCAACAAATACATGCTGAGTATACTATGAGTTAACTAGACTCTCTGGAAGGTAGTCCTTTTTTATTCCCACTTTGTAATGCAGCTCTTGACATCTTAGAAGTAAGATCAAGTGTATCTGTTGCCCACATATTTTTCTTCTTTAACAATGTTCTTCAAAATGGCTCAGACTTAATAGATTTATCTACTCCCTATGTGTGATTTCCCTACTCGGATAGCATACAATTTCAAATAGAAACACTGACTAGTATTTACAAAGTCATTAGGTAAACCATAAAGCACTTCAGCAATGTTAGTTTGGAAAAACAATTTACCCTTCTACTTTGATATGACTGAGCTGTTACAAGGAAAATGAAGTGAAACTTTAATTTCTACTTGATAATTTTAGCTACTGTATTGACAGTTCCTACTAATATGCAATAAAATTATGGTTTAGATCTAGAGCTACTCAAGAAAAAATATATAGTTCTCTTTTCCTAAGTCATCTTTCAACTCCATGATTGTAAGATTAATTCATCCATAATATCTCCCGTGACAAGGATCTCCTTGAGTCCAACAAACCTGATTAAATGGAGGTCCTTTCCCATAGGGACCTTTTGCTACTGATGGCTGGGCAGGTATCTGAGAAGATGATTTAGTGTTGCAAACTTCATCTGCTTCTTTTCGGTTTTCAGTGTTTTCAGAGGCTTTTGAACCTTGATCCTCACTAAAGAATCAAAATCCAGGTGAAATCAAAAAGTAAAGTGGATGGACTATACCATAAGTAAATGCATTTTCTCTATGTAAAAAAGACATTATTTTCATATGGTTTCAGAGGAAAAATCTATCAAGGAACGAGATGGTAGTGTGACCTAGTGGTGCTAATCCATTCACTCAGTAGTAAATATATACTATATTATCTACAGTGTGTCGGGGACTGGGCTTGACTAGGTTATCACTAAAAAGTATAAAGTGCAATACAGTCGTTGTCAAATATGGACACTGATTCTTCACACAACCTGGCAAAGGAATATAATCCCACCATTTTCTATCACCCCCACCCCAAAAAGTTTCATCTGAATGCAAGTGAGTAATATTACAGATAATTAATAGCTATATTCTAATTTATTCTGACTTAATGAAAAAGATAAATCAAACTACAGCATTTTTAAAAATCAAAACAAATCATAGGCATCTCACAACTATCATGAAACAGCAGTGTATTACAATGCCACGACTTAAGAACACAATACATGTGTTCTTAAGAACACAATACATGTATGCAAGCTCCTGTGT